AGCAAGGGACTCCTAAGTTATCATATGCCCTGATTTACATAATTAAATATAGAAAAAGTATGCACAAGATATAAGAAAGCCAGCATCCAGAAAATGACTGAAATATGCTTTTTATCACTGGTTTGCAAGCCATGAAAAGATCCTTTCTTTCTGCATCCCCAGTCAGGGGTGCTTGTCAACACACACAGGCCCAGCACAATGCCGACTCAGGCCCACCGCGCAGAGGGTTCGGATGGAAAGTGAGCCTCACAGACCCGGGAACTGGCAGGAACTGGGGGATGGCAGAGAGCTCACGGCACGTTTGCGTGAGGATGGAGCGTAGGCACAGTTTCCAATGAGGATTGGCAGTTCTCCTGGAGCACATAGTCCTTGACACGTGCACTAACTGGTCAGCGAAAGAGCTGTTTATTAACAAAAAGGGGGTGTCCTTTGCCACCAAAAGGAGAGAAAAGGGGACCAAAACAACTATGTGCTTTCTGACGACAAAATACAACTTCTCAGGTTGCAGTTCATTGACAAGACACCTGGGGTGTTAGAAACACATCATTCACATGGAGGGAGGGAGGCAGGGAGGCCCGAGCAAGCCCAGACCACACCGCTGCACAGGAGGCCCTGCCCGCGAGGCCTCGCTAGAGATGATTGATCAAGGGCACTCCGTGGGAGGGCAGCTCCTGGTGCAGCTGCCGGAAGAGCATGGCGCAGCGGTTCCGCTCCTGGGTCTGCCCCAGCGCGTGGTAGAGCCGGGCCTGGAAGTACACGACATCTCTGATCTGCTCTTTGCAGTCGACCTTGGTGAAGTAGCTCTTGGCTTCGTTGAGGTTCTCAATGGCGGCCTCCAGAGCTGATGGAAGTGGGGAAAACACCACATATTTAAGTCAAGGCTTCACATCCGGTTTTTAAACTTTATTTAACTTGTACAGGATACTTTTCTATTGTACTCTCTGGGATAAAAAAAAATAACACATTCAGGTGAGATTTGTGAAAAGGGCTTTTGTCCTGACTCCTAACCTGGAACCTAGCTCGACAGGGTTCATCTGCCCTCAGCCCTCCTTCCACGCATGCGCGTGAGAACACTTTAGTGCTGCCTGAAGTTCTGCATGTATCTGTGAAGATTTGGGGCTTACACAGGGTTCCAGTTTTAATGTCTGGGCCCTGAATTATAGGAGGTTTCCGGAAAGGCATTTCCTAACGACGTCTGTGTGACTGCCTACCTTCTGCTTTCTTTGCTGGATCATAGGAAGCTGCTGAAGCCACTTGGCACTTGGCCACCAAGAACATGGCCCGGCCCTTGTCCAGGACGGCCCCGTCAGCCAAGATGGGCTCAATGGCCATGTGGAGAAGACTCAAGGCCTGTTCTGGGATTCCAAGGATGAGCTGGAAAAGAAACATCACAAATGTCCACTTTGTCCATACCCACACGCACTGCCCGTAACCAGGAAGGCCTTTGCTTACAGCTGTTCCTCCCTGACTGGCTACCTCTGGTTTATCCTCTCCCTGACATGTACTTTACAACTGCACACTCCTAGAAAACATGACATGTGACCATCTGATTACGATACCTACAGGGGAGAGTGGTTTCTCACTAGGGAAAGGTTTTTGTCTTTACAAAAAGATCTAGCATTGATATCCTTGAGATTAGGAATCCCCAAGGGATGTATAAGGATTGCCCTGGGTGAAGGGCAACTACGAAGAAAATTACTCAAAGGGATAAAGTAAAGGGGAAAAAAAAAAAAAGTATATGTTAAAGAAATGACAAGGGAATCAAAATGATCCACTAGCAAACTGAACACAAAAGAAGACAATAATGGAGAGACTAAGGAACAAAGAAAATATAAGACCCATAGAAAACA